AACTTGGGCCTTCCCTCCAGGTGTTTTGGACTTCAACTCCCACCATTCCTGACAGCCTCAGGCCCTTTCCTTTTCCCCCTGTATTATACAGACATGGGCCAACTTGGGCCTTCCCTCCAGGTGTTTTGGACTTCAACTCCCACCATTCCTGACAGCCTCAGGCCCTTTCCTTTTCCCCCTGTATTATACAGACATGGGCCAACTTGGGCCTTCCCTCCAGGTGTTTTGGACTCCAACTCCCGCCATTCCTGACAGCCTTAGGCCCTTTCCTTTTCCCCCTGTATTATACAGACATGGGCCAACTTGGGCCCTCTGAGTGTTTTGGACTCCAACTCCCATCATTCCTAACAGCCTCAGGCCCTTTCCTTTTGCAGGCACTGAGTTAGACCAGACATGGGGCAAACTTGGGCCGTCCAGGTGTTTTGGACTTCAACTCCCACAATTCCTGACAGCCTCAGGCCCCTTCCTTTTCCCCCTGTATTATACAGACATGGGCCAACTTGGGCCTTCCCTCCAGGTGTTTTGGACTCCAACTCCCACCATTCCTAACAGCCTCAGGCCCTTTCCTTTCCCCCCTCAGTCTGAGGCTTCCCTCCATGTGTTTTGGACTTCAACTCAAACCATTCCTGACAGCCTCAGGCCCCTTCCTTTCCCCCTGTATTATACAGACATGGGCCAACTTGGGCCTTCCCTCCAGGTGTTTTGGACTTCAACTCCCACCATTCCTGACAGCCTCAGGCCCTTTCCTTTTCCCCCTGTATTATACAGACATGGGCCAACTTGGGCCTTCCCTCCAGGTGTTTTGGACTCCAACTCCCACCATTCCTGACAGCCTCAGGCCCTTTCCTTTTCCCCCTGTATTATACAGACATGGGCCAACTTGGGCCTTCCCTCCAGGTGTTTTGGACTTCAACTCCCGCCATTCCTGACAGCCTCAGGCCCTTTCCTTTTCCCCCTGTGTTATACAGACATGGGCCAACTTGGGCCTTCCCTCCAGGTGTTTTGGACTCCAACTCCCGCCATTCCTGACAGCCTCAGGCCCTTTCCTTTTCCCCCTGTATTATACAGACATGGGCCAACTTGGGCCTTCCCTCCAGGTGTTTTGGACTCCAACTCCCGCCATTCCTGACAGCCTCAGGCCCTTTCCTTTTCCCCCTGTATTATACAGACATGGGCCAACTTGGGCCTTCCCTCCAGGTGTTTTGGACTTCAACTCCCACCATTCCTGACAGCCTCAGGCCCTTTCCTTTTCCCCCTGTATTATACAGACATGGGCCAACTTGGGCCTTCCCTCCAGGTGTTTTGGACTTCAACTCCCACCATTCCTGACAGCCTCAGGCCCTTTCCTTTTCCCCCTGTGTTATACAGACATGGGCCAACTTGGGCCTTCCCTCCAGGTGTTTTGGACTCCAACTCCCGCCATTCCTGACAGCCTCAGGCCCTTTCCTTTTCCCCCTGTATTATACAGACATGGGCCAACTTGGGCCTTCCCTCCAGGTGTTTTGGACTCCAACTCCCGCCATTCCTGACAGCCTCAGGCCCTTTCCTTTTCCCCCTGTATTATACAGACATGGGCCAACTTGGGCCTTCCCTCCAGGTGTTTTGGACTTCAACTCCCACCATTCCTGACAGCCTCAGGCCCTTTCCTTTTCCCCCTGTATTATACAGACATGGGCCAACTTGGGCCTTCCCTCCAGGTGTTTTGGACTCCAACTCCCGCCATTCCTGACAGCCTCAGGCCCTTTCCTTTTCCCCCTGTATTATACAGACATAGGCCAACTTGGGCCTTCCCTCCAGGTGTTTTGGACTTCAACTCCCACCATTCCTGACAGCCTTAGGCCCTTTCCTTTTCCCCCTGTATTATACAGACATGGGCCAACTTGGGCCTTCCCTCCAGGTGTTTTGGACTTCAACTCCCACCATTCCTGACAGCCTCAGGCCCTTTCCTTTTCCCCCTGTATTATACAGACATGGGCCAACTTGGGCCTTCCCTCCAGGTGTTTTGGACTTCAACTCCCACCATTCCTAACAGCCTCAGACCCTTTCCTTCCCTCCGTATTATACAAGCATGAGCCAACTTGGGCCTTCCCTCCATGTGTTTTTGCACTTGAACACTCACCATTCCTAACAGTCTCAAGCCCTTTCCTTTCACCCCTTTATTATACAGACATGGGCCAGCTTGGGCCTTCCATCCAGGTGTTTTGGACTTCAACTCCCACCATTCCTAAAAACCTTGAGCCCTTTCCTTTCTCCCCTGTATTATACAGACATGGGCCAACTTGGGCCTTCCCTCCAGGTGTTTTGGACTTCAACTCCCACCATTCCTGACAGCCTCAGGCCCTTTCCTTTTCCCCCTGTATTATACAGACATGGGCCAACTTGGGCCTTCCCTCCAGGTGTTTTGGACTCCAACTCCCGCCATTCCTGACAGCCTCAGGCCCTTTCCTTTTCCCCCTGTATTATACAGACATGGGCCAACTTGGGCCTTCCCTCCAGGTGTTTTGGACTTCAACTCCCACCATTCCTGACAGCCTCAGGCCCTTTCCTTTTCCCCCTGTGTTATACAGACATGGGCCAACTTGGGCCTTCCCTCCAGGTGTTTTGGACTCCAACTCCCGCCATTCCTGACAGCCTCAGGCCCTTTCCTTTTCCCCCTGTATTATACAGACATGGGCCAACTTGGGCCTTCCCTCCAGGTGTTTTGGACTCCAACTCCCGCCATTCCTGACAGCCTCAGGCCCTTTCCTTTTCCCCCTGTGTTATACAGACATGGGCCAACTTGGGCCTTCCCTCCAGGTGTTTTGGACTTCAACTCCCACCATTCCTGACAGCCTCAGGCCCTTTCCTTTCCCCCCTGTATTATACAGACATGGGCCAACTTGGGCCTTCCCTCCAGGTGTTTTGGACTTCAACTCCCACCATTCCTGACAGCCTCAGGCCCTTTCCTTTTCCCCCTGTATTATACAGACATGGGCCAACTTGGGCCTTCCCTCCAGGTGTTTTGGACTTCAACTCCCACCATTCCTGACAGCCTCAGGCCCTTTCCTTTTCCCCCTGTATTATACAGACATGGGCCAACTTGGGCCTTCCCTCCAGGTGTTTTGGACTCCAACTCCCGCCATTCCTGACAGCCTCAGGCCCTTTCCTTTTCCCCCTGTATTATAGAGACATGGGCCAACTTGGGCCTTCCCTCCAGGTGTTTTGGACTCCAACTCCCGCCATTCCTGACAGCCTCAGGCCCTTTCCTTTTCCCCCTGTATTATACAGACATGGGCCAACTTGGGCCTTCCCTCCAGGTGTTTTGGACTTCAACTCCCGCCATTCCTGACAGCCTTAGGCCCTTTCCTTTTCCCCCTGTATTATACAGACATGGGCCAACTTGGGCCTTCCCTCCAGGTGTTTTGGACTCCAACTCCCGCCATTCCTGACAGCCTCAGGCCCTTTCCTTTTCCCCCTGTATTATACAGAGCATGGGCCAACTTGGGCCTTCCCTCCAGGTGTTTTGGACTTCAACTCCCGCCATTCCTGACAGCCTCAGGCCCTTTCCTTTTCCCCTTGTATTATACAGACATGGGCCAACTTGGGCCTTCCCTCCAGGTGTTTTGGACTCCAACTCCCGCCATTCCTGACAGCCTCAGGCCCTTTCCTTTTCCCCCTGTATTATACAGACATGGGCCAACTTGGGCCTTCCCTCCAGGTGTTTTGGACTCCAACTCCCGCCATTCCTGACAGCCTTAGGCCCTTTCCTTTTCCCCTGTATTATACAGACATGGGCCAACTTGGGCCTTCCCTCCAGGTGTTTTGGACTTCAACTCCCACCATTCCTGACAGCCTCAGGCCCTTTCCTATTATACAGACATAGGCCAACTTGGGCCTTCCCTCCAGGTGTTTTGGACTTCAACTCCCACCATTCCTGACAGCCTCAGGCCCTTTCCTTTTCCCCCTGTATTATACAGACATGGGCCAACTTGGGCCTTCCCTCCAGGTGTTTTGGACTCCAACTCCCGCCATTCCTGACAGCCTCAGGCCCTTTCCTTTTCCCCCTGTATTATACAGACACGGGCCAACTTGGGCCTTCCCTCCAGGTGTTTTGGACTTCAACTCCCACCATTCCTGACAGCCTCAGGCCCTTTCCTTTTCCCCCTGTGTTATACAGACATGGGCCAACTTGGGCCTTCCCTCCAGGTGTTTTGGACTTCAACTCCCACCATTCCTGACAGCCTCAGGCCCTTTCCTTTTCCCCCTGTATTATACAGACATGGGCCAACTTGGGCCTTCCCTCCAGGTGTTTTGGACTCCAACTCCCGCCATTCCTGACAGCCTCAGGCCCTTTCCTTTTCCCCTTGTATTATACAGACACGGGCCAACTTGGGCCTTCCCTCCAGGTGTTTTGGACTTCAACTCCCACCATTCCTGACAGCCTCAGGCCCTTTCCTTTTCCCCCTGTGTTATACAGACATGGGCCAGGTGTTTTGGACTTCAACTCCCACCATTCCTGACAGCCTCAGGCCCTTTCCTTTTCCCCCTGTATTATACAGACATGGGCCAACTTGGGCCTTCCCTCCAGGTGTTTTGGACTCCAACTCCCGCCATTCCTGACAGCCTCAGGCCCTTTCCTTTTCCCCCTGTATTATACAGACATGGGCCAACTTGGGCCTTCCCTCCAGGTGTTTTGGACTTCAACTCCCGCCATTCCTGACAGCCTCAGGCCCTTTCCTTTTCCCCCTGTGTTATACAGACATGGGCCAACTTGGGCCTTCCCTCCAGGTGTTTTGGACTCCAACTCCCGCCATTCCTGACAGCCTCAGGCCCTTTCCTTTTCCCCCTGTATTATACAGACATGGGCCAACTGAGGGGGAAAATGAAGGGGCCTGAGGCTGTCAGGAATGGTGGGAGTTGGAGTCCAAAGCCAGAGCCTCCCCTTTGCCCGCTGAAGCCACAGACAGGCGTGGGCTCTCCCTCTCCACGAGCTGACAAAGCCCTGCCGCCGGCTGCCTCACCTCCGCTCCTGGCCATGGCTCCGCCTGAGTGGCCCTTCTCTCTCTAGGCCGCTCTCTCTCCCTGGCCTTCCCCGCCTTCCTCGCTCTCTCACTCTCTCGCTGCGTCTCTCGTTCTCCGTAGGACCCCGCAATTGCCGTGTCAAGACCCCAACCGAGGCGTCTACCTCACTGCCTTTTTTTCTTTTTTTTACAACGCCTCTTCCGGAACGCCAGGCAAGGCTTTTATCCTGCCTACGCTTCTTCTTCCATGTGTCTCTAAACACTTCCGGTGAAATGCTTGAGAGACAGCTGTGTAGTATTCTGAGCAGGCATTGGCGTAGACAGCCCTCAGAGCATACACAATGAGGCAGAGGAAAATGTACCTTTTTCAAAAGGGTATGAGCAAACTTCAACCCTCCAGGTGTTTTGGACTTCACCTCCCACAATTCCTAACAACCAACTTAAAATTCAACTTAAGAACAAATCTACAGATGTTCCATGTGTTGTTGAAGGCTTTCATGGCCGGAATCACTGGGTTGTTGTGAGTTTTCCAGGCTGTATGTTCCACAAGCATTCTCTCCTGACGTTTCGCCCACATCTGTGGCAAGCATCCTCAGAGGTTATGGGGTGTATTGGAAACTAAGTGAGTGAGGTTGGCCATCTGTCAGGGGTGATTTGAGTGCAATGTTCCTGCTTCTTGACAGGGGGTTGGACTGGATGGCCCATGAGGTCTCTTCTAACTCTTTGATTCTATGATTCTATCTGGAATGTCCAGAGTGGAGGAAAGCAGGGGTATTCCAGACAAGAATCAGTCAGGAATGTATGTATGTGTATTTTATAACATCTCAAGAAAGTAATATAAATCAGGATTATATGCTCTCTAATGGAGTAAATTGTCTGAGACTTTATAGCATTTAACAGGATAAGGGAGGAGCGGTGGTACTACTAAATAGGATTGACTATGTGAAAGAAGTGGAAAGACATCTTTTTAATAATATGTTCTACAGATGTATTCCTAAAGATCTCATAAATAAAATTAGATCCCTTATACGCACAGTATGTGCTGAAGGTCTCTCATTGGGATATATTTCATTACAGACATATGAGTTCCTTCAGAATCCATACCCTAGAACACCAGTGTTTTATGTTCTTCCTAAGATTCATAAAAGAACTTTTCCTCCACCAGGTAGACCTATCGTCTCAGGTACAGCATCTATTTTGGAACCTTTAGCTCAGTTCATTGACCATTTCTTGCAACCCTTTGTACCATTGAACACATCATTTATCAAAGACACAAAACACTTTATCAATATAATAGAAGCTCTTACTATACCTGAGCAAGCCATACTCATGACCTTAGACATTGAAGCTCTATATACAAACATACCTCTAGACGAGGCCAGAACAGTGGTTAAAGACATACTAGACACACGCAAATCTCCAGTTCCTCCCACTCACTTCCTCATGGATCTATTAGATATTGTGCTAGAATACAACTATTTTAGTTTTGACAAACAATTTTATTTACAGACATTCGGTATCGCTATGGGCAGCCCACTCGCACCCGCTATAGCCAACTTATTCGTCGCAGACTTAGAAAGTAAATTCATTTTCAATACTACTAAGAATCCATTTTCTTCAGACATCCTTTATTTTGGAAGATATCTAGATGATATATTTATAGTAGTGAGATCACAGCCAGTAGCGGACCTATTTTACAGCTGGATCAATACACTACATAAACACATGAAATTTACACATCACTGTAGCCCTACTAATATTAACTTTTTGGACATCATGGTTTTCAAAAATGGCCAGAAACTATTAGTTAAAAATTATAGCAAACCTACAGATAAGAATTCTATTTTACATTTTTCCAGCTTTCATCACTTTTCTCTTAAATCTAATTTACCATTTTCTCAGTTTTTAAGACTGAAACGTAATTCTAGCACACAAAAGGATTTTGAATCTACAGCAGGTATCCTGAAGAAACAACTCAGAAAGAGAGGATATCCTAATAAGATACTCAACACAGCCATGAGTAAGGCGAACTCCATCAACAGAGGGGAGTTACTACGGGAACGCCCTAGAAAACATAATAACCGCATAATATGGCCTTTGACACTGACACAATATTCATCTAAAATCACTAAGATTATTTCAAAACATTGGCATTTACTACAGGACATTCCTGGATGCAAAGACAAACCTATAATTGCACACAAAAGATCCAGAAATTTAAGGGACCTTATGATCCATTCTGAATATAATTCTCCTACTACATCCCACAAACTTACCACTAGGGGTCACACTAGCTGTGGACACTGTAACTGTTGTCAACAATCACTCAAGATTAAAATATACTCTCATCCAACACTTAACATTAAGATTACATTGCAACATTTAACAACATGTTCCACTGATAATGTAATTTACCTATTAGAATGCTCCTGCAAGCTATTATATGTTGGAATGACCACTAGACCCCTTAAAACCAGGATAAATGAACATCGTTCACGCATAAGGAATGGGTCCACTGACTCTTCACTATATGTACATTTCAATGAAAAAGCTCATACACACCATAGCTTTAAATTTTGCGCTTTAGAAAAAATATTACCCAGACCTAATGCAGATGTAAAAAAACTCCTTCTGCAAAGAGAATCTTTTTGGATCTTTAAACTACAAACACTGGTTCCACAAGGACTAAATGACAAAATTGAATACACTTGTTTCTTGTGAAATGTAGTTCTACTTAAGAGGTAGCCTAGTTATGACTCATTGCTCGTTATAGAACTCCTACCAGAACAGAGCCTGTACTACTGAAGAGAGTGTAAGTAGAGTAGCGTGTTTCTTTACTGTTATTATAAAATGTTTCTTTAGCAATGTTATTTTGGGAGTTTCATGTATCTATTGTGTATGTTATTTCTACTCCCTATTTAGTGCTCTAAGCATAATATTATAACAGACTACATCCTGAGGAAGATATTTGTTCGAAACAAGGATAACATTCCGGAGACCTTGTAGAAATTTTGTTACCTAAGGAAGACTCTGTTGCCTAAGAAGTACTCCTTAAGACTGTGTTGCCAAAAGAAGAATTCTTTTGAGGATAAAGACAGAGACTGTTGAATTCCTTCACTGAAATCCGACTCCAGGAAAGGATGGACTTTATTATCTTTAGTCTACTGTTTATTTCTCTATGTTGACAAGATAATCTACATTTACTTATAATGTGCTGATAACATTCCTGTTAAATGCTATAAAGTCTCAGACAATTTACTTCATTAGAGAGCATATAATCCTGATTTATATTACTTTCTTGAGAGTGTTATAAAATACACATACATACATTCTTGTTTCTATGTTACTATAGATATTTGTGCATTGTTTGCAAGAATCAGTCAGGGCCAGCTAACACCTCCCAAAAATAGGAAGTGGAAAGGGGGGGGGGAGCGAGAGAAGGGGTCTACATTATTAATTGCAGCAATATCTTTCATGCTTATGTCTATGTTTGATATTTTTATAGTTTTAATGGTTTTAATCTAGTTATGTTACTGATTTAAATATGTGATGTGTGTGTGTGTGTGTGTGTATGAGAGGCATTTATTTTTGCCATTTATTATGTTGTAAACTGCTTTGAGTCCCCTCAGGGGTGAGAAAAGTGGTATAGAAATGCAGATAATAATAATAATAACAACAACAACAACAATAATGGGTTGTTGTACATTTTTTTCCGGTGCTGCAGGTTTTTCACCCAGTGATTCCGGCCATGAAAGCCTTCAACAACAACAACAACAACAATAATAATTACCCCAGACAGCAACCAGCCAGGCCTTGAAACTGCAGGCCATTAAAATGCTAATCAGGTGGCTAATTGCAACATTCACATGCATCTCAAGCAAATAATGCTTTTTGCGTCTTGCTCTTTATTTACTGTTCTGATTTTAGAGTTTTTTAATACTGGTATTCAGATTTTGTTCATTTTCATTGTTTCCCCCTTTCTGTTGAAATTGTCCACATGCTTCCTTGTGTAGTCTGACATGGAAGTTGTCACAATGGCTTCCTTGTGTAGTCTGACATGGAAGTTGTTAAGAGTGGCAGGCATCCTCAGAGGTTGTGAAGTCTGTTGGAAACTAGGAAAATGGAATGTCTAGGGTGGGAGAAAAAACTTTTGTCTGTCTGTTTGTAAATGTTGCAATTGGCCATCTTGAACCCTTGCAGCTTCAAAGCCTGGCTGATTCCTGGCTGGGGGGAATCCTTTGTTGGAAGGTGTTAGCTGGCCCTGATTGTTTCCTGTCTGCAATTCCCCTGTTGTTTGAGTGTTCCCCTATACCTACAGTCCTGATTTTAGAGTTTCTTTTAATACTGATAGCCAGATTTTGTTCATTTTCATGCTTGTGGATTTCACTGGCTTCTCTGTGTAGTCTGACATGGTGGTTGTTAGAGTGGTCCATTATTTCTGTGTTCTCAAATAATATGCTGTGCCCAGGTTGGTTCACCAAATGCTCTGCTCTGGCTGACTTCTCTGAACCTATCTTGTTCAAAACTTGGAGACTGTCTGGACTCCACCCAGATTGAAAAGAGGAACACCCCAAATTAAGGATTCTAAATAAACTTTTTGCCCAATGCACTCATGTTTTGTTACAGCTTTTAAGGCAGGAAGCCATGGATAAGTATTGGTCTTGCAAGCCTGGAGTTAGACCTAGAGTTGGCACACCCCATTCCTGCACGACTTGCCACTACCACCATTTCTGCAGTCAGGCTGGTATGGCATTCCTTACCTCATGAGGAAAGGCACCTTAATAACAGGTCTGTAGAATAAGGTCATCTATCATTACTATCATTGAGCAAAGTCAAGTTTAGTAGAGAAAGCACAAACACATTCACGGCACTGAAAATTCCCTGTGTCCATGTGATGTGATTCATTCATTCTCTACACTACAAACCCTCATAAGAAGACAACCACAATGAAAGAAAAAGATTAAACCAATACAGTCTTTGGGACCATAACACTCTCCTAGGAGAAAAATGAAAGGGATGGCTACTTCAAGGGCTTTGCTGAAAGGAGGGACATGCATTAAAGGAGAGGACTTCCAGGTGTTTTGGTCTTTTAACTTCCACAATTCTTACTGCTTTGGTCAATAATTAAGGATTCTGGGCACTGAAGTCCAAAATACATGTAAGTACCAGAATTTGGGAGGCACTGCATTAAAACAAAACATGTATTTGCACATGTTTCTCCTGATCTAGCCACTCTTATGCATCAGAAGACGGCATAAGTTATATTTACAGCTATCTCTACCAGGTAAGGCATGAAAAACCATTACTGGAAGTCATTGAAAACAAGGCCATGAAAACAAGGCCTTCAGCTGGGAGACCTTTTAAAAGGGAAATTCAAATACTACAATTCAACACATCAGATGCTCAGACAGCAGTTGCTTGAGCAGTTGCTCAACCATTGACAATTGTTCAGTGATGATGGTACAGCAACCACTCTAGGTCAGCGTGTACAAAATATGCAAAAACATATATTTAAGTCCCAGGCTAGTTGCATCCTACTATGTTGTGCCAGCCAGGAATTCCCAGCTTGAAGACCACAGGATTTTCATGAACTCTGAAGTGATAGCTGAACACAGTCTAAGATGGTTTCTACCACTGCCCAGAAGCAACCTCATTTGAAATAAATAGTATTATTACAAAGTACATATGCAAAATGTAGATTTAAATTGCAATTTTATACATCTCCCAATGGGAAAATAATTTTATTGCAGCAATAGTGGGGATGGACTGTGGTTCAACATTGCAATACATGCTCCTGCATGTAAAAGGCTTAGGTCCAATATGTGGTGCAGTATGACTTTCTTACTTACTGTATGCTTAACAAAATGCCACCAGCACAATGGGAAATGATTGTCTAGATCAGGGGTCCTCAAACTTCTTAAACAGAGGGCCAGGTCACAGTCCCTCAAATTGTTGGAGGGCCGGATTATAATTTGAAAAAAGCATGAATGAATTCCTATGCACACTGCACATATCTTATTTGTAGTGCAAAAAACACTTTAAACAATACAATAATTAAAATGAAGAACAACTTTAACAAATATAAACTTATTAGTATTTCAATGGGAAGTGTGGGCCTGATGAGATAGGATTGTTGTTGCTGTTGTGTGCTTTCAAGTCATTTCAGACCCTCGGGCCTTAGTTTGAGGACCCCTGGTCTAGATCCTCCATTGTGATCCTGTGGTATGTTTCCAACTCAAGTATAGGCAACATATAACTATTATTTGTGGTTTCGGGTATCTTTGGGGACTTGCATAGAATTTCTATCACTTAAATAGACTTAACAATTGCCAATGGCTACCAGGTGATTTGGGAATTAACAGAGCTGAGTAAACCAAAAAAACCATAGGTTTTCCAAAGACATTGGTACCACAAAGTATTTATTTCTTGTATTCTTCAACCATTTCTTACACACATGTTGGAAGGAAATGTAGGAGGGCTTTTCCTTAGCAAGCATACAAGCAATCTTCATTCCCCCTGGAAACTGTGGCTCTCCAGAAGTTGCTGAATTGCAATTCCCATCACCTTACCTTTGCCTATGCTAATTTGGGCTGGTGGGAATGGCAATCCATATGTAGAGTGTTGGTCATTCCCCACCATGGTCCAGACTCCTGTAATACTAGTTTTTAATGTCATATTTCCTAGTTCTGCCTGACCACATCATGTTCCAAAAACACATACAACTTCTCCAATAAGATTTAATTTCATTTGCCAGTTACTCTCCACTGTACTCCATTAATATTTTCTATAAAAATGACAAGATGCAACCTGCCAAAATTCCATGACTATATAAACCATACTCAGACATAAATAGAATTTTTTCCTTAGCCATCACATTTTTGTTGTTACAATTTTTGTTATACTTTTCTTGACAAATTCACCAACTGCCTATATTTTCCACATAGCAGCACATTGTGAGGAGTTGCATGCGGAAACAAACCCAGGCTGCTTAGAGAAGTGAAGGGGCTCCAGTCCAGTAAGCCCAAGGAGCAAAAAGTTCAGGTGTAGATCACACTTATTTTCCATGTCTTTCAGAAGACCATTAAAGTTATTTCATAACTGAACGTTTTCTCCCTACTATTTTTTAAATATAGTCCAAAAATTGGTGATAGTGCATACCTGTCATGAACCAGGAAAAATGGTGGATCTCTCAACAAGGAACAAGAGGGCACAGCTCTCTGCCAGATTTGTCCCTGCAAATCCTAGCTTATAGAGTTCCTAAAACCTTGAGAAGTGGCATCACCAGCTGCCCTCAAAGAAGTGGGACACCTCTAATTTTACGAATGATGTTTGCCAGTCGCTTGGCTAGGCCTCCTCTGTTGGGTTCCTCTATTTGGAAGGTTCTGGTCAGCAAGTTATAGAAGGAGCCATAGCACACAGCTACCACAGTGCAAGTCAGGCAGATGACGTTGTATGGCATGCTGAAGTCTGGGGTTGGCAGGTTTACTAGCAGCGGTTCGGTATAAAGACGCACAAAGTAGCTTGAGCCATCAGAGGAAGGAAACCTGGCAGGTCAAAGAGAAAATGATAGTATCAACTGAGGCTTCAGAGTGAGATGCTAATGTGGTTCAATTCTACAGTGACTACATTTCAAATTTTACATCTGGAGGTCATGTGGGGGAGACAGAATGCCACGTTCAAAAGGTAGCTTCAAAACAAAACTGATAAATAATATCTGCATATGGAAAGCTATGATATGAAAGTGCTTTCCTACAAACAATACTCACTTTCCACTGTATCATATGAATAATTGATCCCCAAGGTAAAAGTAAAGGTAAAGGTTTCCCCTAACATTAAGTCTAGTTGGGTCCGACTCTGGGGGTGGTGCTCATCTCCATTTCTAAGAGCCGGTGTTGTCCAAAGACACCTCCAAGGTCATGCGGCCAGCATGACTGCACAGAGTAGCGTTACTTTGCCACCAGAGAGGTACCTATTGATCTACTCACGTGTTTTCGAACTGCTAGGTTGGCAGAAGCTGGGCCTAACAGTGGGAGCTCACCACGCTCCCCAGATTTGAAAAGGCAACCTTTTGGTCAGCAAGTTCAACAGATCAACGGTTTAATCCACTGCAACAGTTTAACTCACTGCACCACCAGGGGGCCCTTTTTCCTGAATCCCTATATAGAATTTCATGAAATACTGAATTTCCCCAAATGTTAGCTTATATAAACAAACATACATAGGGTAGAAAAGCCAAGTTCACTGTTAATTAGAAGAAGATGTTTGTTCTCTTGTTGTTGTGTGCCTTCAAGTAGTTTCTGACTCATGTTCTCAACCTGGGGTCCCCAGATGTTGTTGGACTTCAACTCCCAGAAATCCTAACAGCTGGTAAACTGGCTGGGATTCCTGGGAGTTGTAGGCCAAAACACATGGGGACCCACAGGTTGAGAACCACTGTTCTAGACAATACAATTCAAAAGTCTGATCCCACATATGACCTCTCACATAGATGCAGCTTCAATTCAACTCCAGGGATCATCAGTATCAATTCCATGGAAGCTACTCCTTGCCATCCACCCCTTTTCTCTTTTCAAGCATTCAGTGCACTCACAGTGATGTAAAGAGTGGGCTCAGATCATCTTCTTCCTCTTTCATTGCAATGATACTTGGCACCAGGGAACTCAAGACAGATGAACTGCAGATCGAGAGGGAGAGAGAAGCTGAATGTAAGCTTTGCATCTTCTGAGAAAAGAAACAAGTACAGCCAGACCACAAAGAGTCAAACCTAGACAGTATCTGGCTAAGGAATGTTGCAGCTTTACCTTACGTAAAAGCCATGGTTAGGGTCAGGAGTGTATTCTGTCCACTTCAACAAGGCTCTCTCAAACTGGATGGTGATCTTTGTGACAGAATTTGCAGGTAGTTGGATCAGCATCTCTAGGAGATGGGGCCGCCGTCGATCCTGAGCAGGTTGATAGTGAATATAGCCTAGCACCAAAGACATGTGATCATCAGACAACACTTTGTCAAATACATAAATAAAAATAACACTCATATACAGGCCCCACTGACCTCCCAGGACCTCTACAAGGGCTTTGTGGAAGGAGGATGAACTCTTGAGTACTGCAAATTTCTCTGATAATTCTCTGTTTTTGTTTGTTTATGTGGAGTATCGGTTCTTGTAGATTTAGATAAATCACAGTCAAGGACTTGAAAAACAACAGAAGGCCACAATCCTATGCCAGTTTACCTGGGGTGACAGAACCTTTTTCAGGTCAGCTCCAAAGTTCCAGCCCTTGGTCTCTTGCTAACTCTTCTTGCCCTTTTACCCTCAATATCTTGATCTGATATTATTACTACTATACTAGACAAATGGCTATGTTGATCAGTGAGTTCAGTTGGTAAAGTGTGACAAGACTTTCCTTTCAATTCTTAAATGTAAATAGCATTGTATAATAAATAAGCTAAACAGAAAATCCTTGAACTCTTTCCATTTTCCCTGTTTACAAAACACTATTCAGGTCTTCACTCTTACTGCCTTAAACTAGTCCCTTTGCATTCTGCTGCTATCTCTTTAAATAAACCAGCCTCAAATTTATATCATTTCTCCTATATAGCCTCCCTTTTACAGCATTTCTTGATCTGTGATTGTCTGGCTCGAACCAGGCTTGCCTAGCTTCTCACATCATCACTGGGTGTAAACCTAACTGCACTCATTAGCTTTCAGATAAGTCCCTACAGAACTGCACTGTTCAAATGCTATCCTATACATACCTACCCATATAAAACTGGACCTCAGATTTCAACACATTTGGTCTCAGAGCCTAAGCTAACATGCAACAGAATGGTTGAAGAAGTACCAAGCTTGTGCATTCTCAGATTCATATACTATCGCTTCCAATATATTTGATTGTAACAAACAGTTCAGCTCCACAGCTCAGATCTCAAGCACCATCACAAAGCCAACAACCAAATCAAGGTAATAATAAAAGTAATTTAAAAAAAATCTAGAGTGACATATGTGCACCATTTGCTTCTACAAAGCAAAATGTATCTCCGCTCATCAAAAACAGTAACAACAAGAAAAAAACACATGTTTTAAAGAGGTTAAATCTTACTTGGTTTGTTTTCCTTTCCTTTTGTGATAATTGTCAGTGTGTGGATGTAGAGTCTCAAATACCAGGGCACTGTCTCCAGCAACAGAACAGGGAAAGCTCGGTATGGATGTGTGTTATAGACGAGGGTGCTGATTTCTCCTGTCTGAAGGCCATAGCCACTCACATAGCGCTGAGCATGCAGCACCGGGGCTGGGAGATCCACTGCAAGGAGGAGATGAAAGAGTGGGTTAGAACTCATACTACAGAAGCAACAGTCAATTCAGTTTTTAGATAGATCCTCTGCATCAAAGGTTCAATTGTGTATTTCTACTGATGGTTGTGTATCTTCCTGGCCTTTCCTGGTGCCATCTCATGATCTGATAGAGATGGCTGGGAAATCCTCTGCCATATTTTCTAGTAGTGTAGTGGGTTGTGAGAAAGAAGAAGAACATAAAAGCCCTCCTCAAGTATGTGGTTGAATCCTAGCTTCTATTTCCCAACCTGCTTTGGATCCCAATCTTTCATCCTCCATTTTCTTCTGAGAATTTGTTCTGATTGCCAGATCTTAATGGAGTTCACACAATCTTCCACACAATCTGGTTCTCTCAAGCTCCCCCCCCCCCCTTTTGGCAGCACAGCTTAATGTGGGAAGAAAGCATTTACGTTGCTGTTATTGTTAAACAACTGAAAGCCAAAACTCCTTGGCAACTTGTTAAAAATAACCCAGAGATCCACCAACAGATCTATCTTGCCCTGCTCTAGTGTGACCCATTGGTTGCAGGCTGTGTCCCTCTAACCCAGTGGTTCTCAACTTGTGGGTCCCCAGGTGTTTTGGTCTTCTAGGCAGGAAAGCTACTCATAACTCACAACCATCCTGAGGCCGTTTCCATTTCAACTGCACATTGAGGCTGCGAGAACCATTGAAGAGTGCTGGATTCAGAAGGTCATAGACTGCATACGTCCTCCTGTCACCTTGGACAGCTGCTTCGTGTTTGGACAAGGGAGCTGGAGAAACTTCTAGAAGTTCTTTCTCCTGAAAACATAATAGAAACTGCCATTAGACACCAGAAAGGCAGCCAATCCAGTAGCATGTCCTCTATACCAAAAGGTTCAGTGTAAATAGTTTGGATTGTAATATCTATAAGCCTCAGTAAACTGTATGGAGCTGTAAGAGTTGCAGTTGAAAACACCTGGAAAACACCACCCATATAACAGAGTTGTGTTAACAGAACTTGAAGGTTTTATTGTAGAAACTACGTTAAAGACAAGAAAGGTACCTAAAGAGGACAAGCTAACACAGAATAATAAGACTGTTTCTTTTTCAATAGTAGTAAGATAATAAAAGAACAGAAAAATAAAAAGATCCCTAGAAATATCAATTTACATCTCAGACAGCTTAGATCAGATGAGGAAGAGATGAGGAGATTTTGGGTTACTGGAATCTATTTAAAACTACTACGGCGGCTCTCTCTAAAATATCTTTAGTTCTTTAACTGCTGAGCATTGCTACATTTGCAACACGTTATACTGTAGAAAAAATAAATGAAGCTAAGTAGAAAATGTTTGAATGCATTCTCTTGTCACGAATAAGGTAGACCAGTACTTCCCAAACTGTGGTCCGTGGACCACCAGTGGTCAGCAAGAACAAAAAATATGGTCCATGGCCTCACCATTATTACTGTTGCCTCGAAACTATGCAAAACCCTCTTATAGTGCTGAGACAAGGGGGATGCCGGAGCAGAGAGGCTGACTACCCACAAAACATTACTGTTACCACATCAGCTCTAGATTATTAAATACAGTTTTTGGTGGGTGAGCAGGTGGCGACTACTGGATGGCATGTGTTCTGTATCAGAAACTAGAGCTGATGTGGTCTATCCAATGCAATTTCCTGAAACAGCACCCCAAATAACCAAATCAAATCTAAAGTAGGTCTAAACTTGACCAAAAACTGATTCGTAACCCTTTTGGTACTAATGTTGGAAAGTGGTCCCTGATCAAAGTGGTCCCTGGCCAAAAAGAGATTGGGAATCACTGGTCTAAACTTACTAGAATATGGTTGAAGAGGGAAAAGTTACCTGGCCTCGACTGGAAATATCAACATAGACTTTGCTTTGAGATGCCAGAGGACATGCTTCCGTTAGAGTACGAGAGAAGATCTTAAAAAGGGACCAATCTGCAACAAAGGTAACATAAAGGTCAGTAAAGACACCGGACTCAGCTATAAGAGCAACTATTCTTGATACCACAGGAAAGCTCCCTTACCTTTCTTTCCATGGCCACTAACAAAAGAGTCGAAGACAACAGTGAGGGTCTGTCTGAGTTCCCATGACACACTGAGGCAAGAGGCATCCTAAAGGAAAAGGCAAAGAGAAGTACAAAGTAAAAATATGTTTGTATGTTTTTACCTCAAAGAATCCTCCACCTTGTGTGACTGTGGAGCAGAACAAACAACTCCACATTTGTATGCTTGTCCACAATGTCCTGCCTCATGTACAGTCGCTGTTCCTATTTTTGGTCAAAAAATATTTAGCAGCTTGTGCTCCTTCTATTTTTATCAGTTTTATATTTATTTATGCAATGCTTTTGATACAAATTAAATAAAATCTCAAAGGCTCCTACATAGCTTGATTAATCTGGACCTAATTTGGTGCACATACCATTCATTATCCAACTTAAAATGCTGAAAGGGTTTAAACTGGAAAAAAGAGCTAACTCTTTCAGGGCCAGAGCCCCAGTCATGAAAATTAGGACAGGCAGGAAGTCCCCCAAATCTCACAAGAGTAAGGCTTCTCACAGGCTCCCGATGCTCTCGCAACGTCTCAAACCTCACATGCCCCTAAATTCCCTCACAAATCTTGTGATGGCAGGCTAGCAGCCATTGCAAAAGATGACATATACTCCATTGCTCGGCCTAGCTGGAATAGAGGAAGAGCTGGCATGACTCCAGCCCCAATTGCAGCTTGTTTTGTTTCATTCCTTCCCATCCAAAAAGTAGTGGCCCAGTGAAACAAATGCTTGCAATTTCAAGAACAACAAAAAATTACAGATTTCGAAATGTAAGCAATTTCTAAAATAATAAATTGAGGATACTTCTCTGACTGAACCATCACTAAAATCATAAAACTAAGAATGAGTATTTCTAATAAATATCATTAGAAAATAATATATGAAAACTGACTGGCACAACCTGGGGATCACAACCAGACGTAGTGAAGGCATCTGCCTTTGTGCTTTGCTACTCTGCTGCCGAGTACACATTCCCAATGTGGAATACATCTCATCGTGTTAAAAACAGTGGATGTGGCTCTTAATGAGACATGCTGCATTATCACAGGATGTCTACTCCCTACACCACTGGAGAAATTGCACTGTTTAGTCGGTATTGCACCACCTGACATCTGTTGGGAAGTAGCAGCCAATAATAAAAGGACCAAGCCAGTAACATTTCTGGCCCTCTGTTTGGATATCAGCCAGCACACCAATGCCTTACATCAAGAAACAGCTTCCTAAGATCTACAGGAATACTCGCAGGAACACCTTAGCAAGCGAGAGTCCAAAAGTAGCAGGCTAAAACCCTGAACCTCAATCCATGGCTTAGACTGGATGAGAAACTCCCTCTTGGGCAAACAGAAGACTGGGCAACTTGGAAGGCACTGAACAGGCTGTGCTCTGGGACCATGAGATGTAGAGCCAATCTTAAGAAATGGGGCAACAAAGTGGAGTCCACGACATGCAAATATGGAGAAGAGCAAACCACAGATCACTTACTACAATGTAACCTGAGCCTTGCCACATGCACAATGGATGACCTCCTTACAGCAGCACCAGAGACACTCCAAGTGACCAGTTTCTGGTCAAAGGATACTTAGTATAATGCCAAGTTTTAACTTTGTGTTTTTAAGTACATTATAACTATACCCTCAATTTGTTTCTGACACGATAAATAATTAGAAAATTCATATCTGGGCAAAGATGGGTATATACACTAATAACTTATAAAAATGAATTGAAATAAATTTCTCATTCATCTGCATTTAAATAAATGTTTGCATAACAGAAACAAAATACAGATTGTCATTGTGGCTCCTTAATCTATTTGTTCCTTACGGAGATGCCCACCTGTCCAGGTACTCAAAGTGTCCACAGTTATAAGGGGAGCAGGCTTTATAACATAGACATCCACAGTAAGTGAGCAAAGGTATATTTAGAAATTAAATGTGTTAATTTTGGAGATCCTGTGCCCAGCTCTTCCAAGCTACTGCTCTACTAAGTACAGCCAAACTCACCCTGCAGATGGGACGGATGTGAACAGCCTGGGAGTGATAGCTGCTGTGAAACAAGCGCTCAGCTTTCAACAAAACAGCCAGTCCAGCCTGGAAGGAATAGAGGGGGAAATGGCTGAAGTAATTTCTCACAGAATAACTAGAGTAAAGCTTAGGAAGTAAGCAGTCAATGACAACTATTTCCCTCAACATCAAAGTATTTGCTCTAAATGAGAAGGCAAATGTGAGCCCATAGCTACACATGTCCAAATATATTTTCCCCAGGATAAAGGAGGAGAGGGTTATACTATATCAAATTACCACAACCATGTGATGGGATGCTCACCTTGGAGCTGCATGGCAGCAGTTTCTTCCAGGGTGTGAGATTCTCTGTGCAGACAACTTCACGGGGCAATACAGCATATCGCAGGAATCGATGGTCTGTCACTAAATGAAGGAACAGAAAGGTGAGCTTCTTGGTGAGCCGTGATACTCCATCGAACATCTCTCTGAAAAACACCTGAATGAATTTAACCTCTCTTCGGAAAAAGAACCGAGTCTGACAAGCTAGTAGTAATGCAATCAATGGAATCTGGGAGGAGACTGTCTAGTTGCAAAATTTAATTTAGTCTTTTACTTTCGCACTCATGACACAATATTTAATTGGTTTTTAATTTGAATTTTTCTATTTCTAATATTTATAATGTATTTGCCTTGTTTTTAAATTCTCTTGTATTGCATCATGTCATTGTTAGCTGCCTTATGTCCCTATGGGGAGAAAAATGGGATACAAATAAAGTAAAAACAAATCAGCAGCCCTATACATTTGCGGGATCAAAGAAAAATAAGCATTCAAGCATCATGCATTCAAATGAACTGGTGCAAAAAAAATTGATAGCTCAAAAGTTGAGAATTAATTCTATGGGCAAACATATTTAATGGAGTGTGAAACTTTGGGAAACTTAATATCTGCAAACTGTGGCAGTTCTTATCAGGAACAGTAAAGAAACAAAATGGAAAAACATGATATTGGCTGGTCATCTTTTATTTCTCTCTTTTTATGAAGTTAACAATATCACATTGGCAAACGTATAAATGTTTCAGTCTTCTAAAGATTGTAGTAATGCTAGAAAATGCTGGTAGTGAGGGCATATTTGGAAGATCTTGAGAGGCAGAGAGCTCTATATTGTGAATTATCTGAATAACAGAACAATTTTTAAAATCCACTCAAAGGCAAGATTTTTAGAAATCATTGGCATCATGTCTTGTGCCAATTTTAGAAATCATTGGCATCATGACTTGCGCCAATTATGAATTCACTGGATCTGAGTAAAATAACCTTTGTTCCTCCAGATATTTTGGACTACAAGTTACACAACCCTTCACAATTGCCAAGTAAGGCAAAGCTAATGGGACCTGGACACCTGAAAAGTCAAGGTTCTTGACCTCTGAACTAGCCAGTCTTGGCAAAAACACTGTTTGACATAAGGGGAATACTATTATACATGATTGTTAAATATAAGTGCACTACTGCATGTGAAAAACTCGAATCAGTAAGAACACACCTGTACAAACAGTCCCCACAGTTTTTTCTTTCTATTTGCAATTGAGTTTTTAGCACCTTATTTTAAAAGCTTGGCATTGTTATGTATTATAGGTATGGGTATTCATATATTGATGCTAAGTTGGATTTTAAGGTGTGTTGCTCCAGTAATTGTGCTACCATATTGTTTTTAAATTATCCATGATGGCTCCAGTACTTTGTTTTATAATGTGTCTCGTGTAATATAAAGAGTTAAAGTTTCTTACCATTCGCCAATCCCAGAGGTTTGAAGGACGCTGTTGGCGTAACAGTGTTGGTGGAATCAATGAAGTTCAGAGAGGCACAGAATATCCCTGAGAGGATATTACTGAGGTCTTTCCAAGCTTTGTCAACACTGGATAAAGAAAATTACATTTACATCCCTGTGGGAGATTTGCTTGAAACGTACAAGATGGATTTTATTATTTTTTTCAAAATGATGTTTATTTTAAAGCTTAAGTTGAACACAACATTTCAAACATCATTTGAATATCACAGAGAATGAAGTATATAAAAATCTTTAAAAATATAGTTTGGGCTCTATTCCCATTTCAGCAGTACCCATCATAGCAGTAATTCGACAATACAAGAATTCACACTAAGGGATTGCAAGTTTTATGTGGCTGTAAGGAGATTATCCAGGGGTGCATCTTTTCCATTCTTAAACGACATCCTACTTTTCTGTAGAATGGCCTTCTAGATGTTATGGGACTGCAACTCCTATTTAATTCTAGCCAATATGGCAGTGAGGAAAAATGAACTGTGGGAAAGGTCAAATCATCTGGACAGCCATATGTTCCCATGCATGAGAATCAGTGTTTATGATGAGCAAAGAGTCTCTCTTAAATTGTGCTCTTCTTTTACCTATTGTCTGAATTTTTTAAAAAAACTCGTATTGCATGCAATATAGGTCAAGATCAGGGTTGGGGAAGAAAATTGTAATGACTTTGGTATGATTGCCCATGACCGAGAGGAAGAACATGCATGAAACAAGCAGCAGGTCAGGCACTTACTCTGAGACAGAGTCTTGAAACCAGACCCAGAGCTCAGCCCCAGCAGGAGCCTGCAAGGAAGGCTGTCCCCAGCTCCTCGTCCGCCAGAAACCCTGAGTGAGAGAGAGGTGCAACTCACGCACTGAATATTTGGAAATGAGCTGCCCCAGGGCTTTAGGGAATAGCCGGTAATGAGAGACTGTGGAAAGCAGAAAAAGAACAAGAGTCACAACAATATGTTTCTTGCCCCGGCCCCAAACCAGTCCCTTCTCCCTCTTTCATACCTAAAAGAGTGGCTTTCTGAGACTACGATTTCTAGTATCTGCAGTCAATATTGCCTTTCTGCTGGAAAAAAGACTTGCTTCCCAAAAAGCACTTTTCCAAGAGAGAATAGGAATCAAGTAGCCCTTAAAACGTTGCACTACTTACAAATTGCACTGTTTATGTATTGTACCCAGGCATTGAATGTTTGCCATGTATATGTTGTGCTCCGCTCTGAGTCTCCTTCGGGATGAGAAGGGCGGAATATAAGTGTTTTAAATAAATAAATAAATATCTTGCATCTTGCATTTGTCACTGTTGAACTTCATTCTGTTAGTTTTGGCCCATCTCTCTAATCTGTCAAGATCGTTTTGAATTCTGCTCCTGTCTTCTGGGGTATTGACTATCCCTCCCAATTTGGTGTCATCTGCAAACTTGAGGATCCTGCCTTCTAGCCCTTCATCTAAGTCATTAATAAAGATGTTGAACAGGACCGGGCCCAGGACGGAACCCTGCTGATGGCACTCCGCTCGCCACTTCTTTCCATGGTCTACACTGACTCTATAATGCAGTTTCAAAATTACACGGCAGTGTAGACATTCAAGCGATTTCTTGAATACAGTTTCCTCTCTTAGGGTTCATCTCTACACCGAAGTATGCATGGGAAAACTTTGGCCCTTCAGGTGTTTTGGACTACAACTCCCACAATTCCAGGTTGTTATAATAATATAATATAATATAATATATATTGTATAAACATATATTTATAATATTATAATGTAATGCAATATAATACTACTAATAATAATATGATATTATAATTATATATTTATATTACATGTTATATTACTAATAATATTACAATATAATTGGTATAGTATAATATAGCAATATTTAAAACTAATATTGTACTATGCTAATAATATACCTTGTAAGCCGCTCTGAGTCCCCTTCGGGGTGAGAAGGGCGGCATATAAATGTCGTAAATAAATAATAAATAAATAAATTTAACTGTCATGGCTCAGTGCTATGAAATACTGGGAGTTGTAGTCTGCACTCTTTGGCAGATCAGACTTTGTAGAACTACAACTCTCATGATTCCATAGTATTGAGCCAAGGCAGTTAAAGAGGTGTCAAACTGTGTTAATTCTACAGTGTAGATGCGCCCTAAAGACCCCTCAACACGAGAACAATACTGACTCACCAAACTACAAGTCATAGCAGTTACAGCGGAACAATCGCGCGACTGCTGTGTGGTGTGAACGGGCTCCCACCCCTCGCCACCCACAATGGCGCTTACCGCCCTCCCGCTGCAGGTCCGAGTCCCAGCGAGTCCGGAACTGGAAGGTGGCGGCCAAATCCCCGGACGGGAGCGGGCTGAGGAGCAGCTCTTCCCGCAACGAATCCCGGGGAGCCTCCGCCGCCGCCAGCCCCACCAGGAGGCACAGCTTGACCAGCTCCATTCCCATCTCGCCCATGGCCGCCAAGCCCCGCCCTCCATCCGGCTCTCGCCAGCCAATGGGGAAGCGACCCAAAGGTGACTGACACTGATAGTCCCGCCTCTTGCTTGCCCTGGGGCCAATGGAAGCGTTCCTTAAAAACTACAGAGATCCGAAATATAGAGAGGAATACCCCCAAGCTATGGATAGCAATATTCCGAGTTGATTATGGAAAAACATGATGAGTAGGAAGCAAATGCAAATACAAAGCTGGGGTGAAAATTGCTGGAAGAAACATTAACAACCTCAGATATGCAGATGACACCACTCTGATGGCCGAAAGCGAGGAGGAGCTGAGGAGCCTTCTAATCAAGGTGAAAGAAGAAAGCGCAAAAGCTGGGCTGCAGCTAAACATCAAAAAAACCAAGATTATGGCAACAAGAATGATTGACAACTGGGAAATAGAGGGAGAAAATGTGGAGGCCGTGACAGACTTTGTATTTCTAGGTGCAAAGATTACTGCAGATGCAGACTGTGGCCAGGAAATCAGAAGACGCTTACTTCTTGGGAGGAGAGCAATGTCCAGTCTCGATAAAATAGTAAAGAGTAGAGACATCACACTGGCAACAAAGATCCATTGCCTAGTCAAAGCCATGGTATTCCCTGTAGTAACCTACGGATGTGAGAGCTGGACCTTAGGGAAGGCTGAGCGAAGGAAGATCGATGCTTTTGAGCTGTGGTGTTGGAGGAAAGTTCTGAGAGTGCCTTGGACTGCGAGAAGATCCAACCACTCCATCCTCCAGGAAATAAAGCCCGACTGCTCACTGGAGGGAAGGATACTAGAGACAAAGTTGAAGTCCTTTGGCCACATCATAAGGAGACAGCAAAGCCTAGAGAAGACAATTATGCTGGGAAAGTGAAAGGCAAAAGGAAGAGGGGCCGACCAAGGGCAAGATGGATGGATGGCATCCTTGAAGTGACTGGACTGACCTTGAAGGAGCTGGGGGTGGTGACGGCCGACAGGGAGCTCTGGCGTGGGCTGGTCCATGAGGTCACGAAGAGTCGGAGACGACTGAACGAACGAACAACAACAGGAAGCAAATGCTTATTCCTGGATCTGTGGGTGCATCTACCTCCCTATAGAATCAATGTAGTTTGACACAACTTTAATTGGAATGGTTCAGTGCTGGGATTTTGTAGTTCGTTGAGGCACCAGCACTCTTTGGCAGAGGAGGCAACATACCTTGTAGAACTACAACTCCCATGAACTGCTTATTCCATGTAGTAATGCTAATATATTATATATAATATTAATAATGTTGTAATATTATTTATTTATTTATTTATTTGCAGCTTTTATATTCCGCCCTTCTCACCCCGCAGGGGACTCAGAGCGGATTACAGTGTACACATAGATGGCAAACATTCAATGCCAATTTTTGACATACAAACATATACAGACATACACAGAGGGTATTTAACTTTTTCTGGCCGCCAGAGGAGCTGTCGCTTTCATCGTCCATCTGCGACGCTGATGAAGCACTTCCGCATTCCCCGCATGCTTCCCCGCTGGAATGCTTTGCTGGAGTCTTCTTTATGGCCTCATAAATCACTTAATTTAGCCTCCCCACACTTTAAGGTGGTACCTTATTTTCCTACTTGACAGATGCAACTGTCTTTCAGGTTGCAAAGGTCGACAACAGGCTACACACAATTGGTTGGAAAACCCACTCCAACCCGGGCTGGCTTCGAACTCATGACCTTTTGGTCAGAGTGATCTTAATGCAGCTGACACTCAGCCAGCTGCACCACAATCCTGGTATCATATACATACTGTATACTACAACTTATGATACAGTACAATATATGATATAATATATGATATACTATATTATATAATAGTATAATGTTATATACTGGTAGTGTCTTATATATATTGTGGTATACTCATATAGTACAAAATAAGAATCTATAATAATATAATAATTGTATATTATATGTTACGTGTAGTATTACTAATAATATTGCAGTATATTATATACACACACACAATATATTAACATAGCATGATATTAGTATTATATATTACTATATTGTACTATATCACTATAAATAAATAAATACAAATATTACTATATTGTACTATACCACTATAGTACAATATAGTAATATATAAAGTAATATTGTGCTATGTTAATATATTGTATATACATATAATATTGATAATAATATTACAATACAATATAATAATACAGCATAATATATAATATTGTAATATAGTAATACTAATATATTAAATATACATATAATGTTTTATTATTGTATTTGTATATTTTTTTAAATTGTAATTTTTTTATTGTGACCTGCATTGAGTCTCTGTATAGCGAGATAAAGCAGGATATAAATAAATAAATAATTCTGCACTAGATGTGCCTGCACTAGCCATATAATTCAGTTTCAAACTGCATTATATAAGGGACTGTAGATAGGGCGCAAAATGTGAGGTGGTAGCTGGGCTGCTTAAAGTGCCTGTAATATATCTATACAAAACTTCCAAGTGCATTTAGAAAACAAAAATGTCCCTTTGTAAGAGGTAACCTTGTGATATTGGAAACAAGGGATACACATTTAATGCACCTTGTTTCTGGCCAAAAACAGAAGTTTTGAATGATTTGTAGTAGAAACTAGGGATATGAAGATAGACACCTTGTTTACATGGCGAATAGTGCTTGTCAGGTGCACATAGGGACACTCAGGTTTTATTTTCACATACACACTATGTGAAAATTCATCCATGTGAGTAGGAGCAGATCTGGAAGGATGCAAAAATGGGCAGGAAAAAAAAAACCAGGATGGCAATTTGTCTTGCTAACCATATCGCCTCTCCTTGTTTTTCCAATTTTTTCACTGAGCCCAGAAACAAACTGGTGATATCAAGCTAGAATTTAGAGGCTCCCGCCCAGGAGAGAGGAGCCCTTAGACCCACCAACGAGAGTCCGGTACTCTGGTGAGCGAAGAGAAAAGAGCCAAGAATTTTCCCTGATTTTCCCAAATAAATCTCACCAAAGTTGAAGAAAGGCCACAGAGTTGTATTTATTTCATTCAGCTGGAACGGATGTCAAACCGCGATAGTTGGTCAGGAGAGACATACATGCAATGCATTTTAGTAAGTTTTTATAGAAAAACAGAGCTGTCAAAGTTCAAATCCCCCCCCCCCCTTGCTGGCATCTCCCTGATTTGAGGCAGTAAAGGACACAAAGTTACACTATGGAGAGGGAAAGGTTACAATTAATTGAAACTTTTTATTGGGGGATTAGTTACAATGTTAGGAAGGGGGAAAGGCAAAGAAATGAGAAAGCTTCTGAGTTGCAGCTGCTGCTGCGCCCACGTTCATGCGGTTGGCCCAAGTGGGGCAATGGAGAACTGAGGAACTACCTGCTGCGGGTCAGATCAACTTGAAGGCAGGGAGTTCCAGGTTCGGCCTCAGTAGGAATATGTTAATCTTGTGGTTTTAGATTTCTGTTTCTTAAAAAGAGGATGAGCATGGATGACTCATGGGGTTCCCATTTGGTAAAGATGACACAGAAGAGAAAGCGGTTTTCTCAATCTGTCAAAGTAGTTCAGGCCCTTCCAGACAGGCCCTATATCCCAGGATCTAATCCCAGGTTTTCTGATGGAAACTGGATTATATGAGTCAGATAACCTGGAATAAACAGAAAACCTGGGATCAGATCCTGGGATATAGGGCCTGTCTGGAAGGGCCCTTAGAAAACTCAAAGATGTATGGGGGCAAGGAAGCTTGGAAGGATTCTGATAAGTCATTCCTTTTGTACTAACTAATACCAGTTACAACCTCTGAGGATGCCCTGCCATAAATGTGGGCAAAATATCCAGAGAGAATGCTTCTGGAACATGGCCATACAGCCTGAAAAAGACACAGCAACCCAGTAATACCAGATACCAGACACAAACCAGCTAAAGAAAAATAATAATTTTACTGCATACAAATATTCTCACCTACTTTTATGTTAATTTCTTGATGAATCAATGATGTAATGCTGTTTGTCACAGCCAATCAACTTATGTAAATACACAGAGTTATATATTCCTGTTCATATTGCTATACATTAGGGAGAAGCCACTTTAGAAAGGTGTTTTCAAGGACTTTTTTCTTCTTCAGGATGCTAAGAATTAAAAGCTGATTGATTTCCCATATTTGGAAGTGTTTTTTGGAAAAAAAATATTCACTGTCACAAAACCACTGCAGATTTGTTTGTTGTGTTTTTTTGTCTCTTTATTTTAGTATGTGTATATTTAATATATACTTGTATGGTTACATTTTAATTATACTAATACTTGATTTTATAGATGTATTTAACTCTGTTGTGCCCCAACTCCAGCCAAAAGCAGAGGCTAGCCAGCCATATATATAGATAGATAGAGAAAGAGAGAGAGAGAGAGAGAGGTAAAGGTTTTCCCCTGACATTAAGTCTAGTCGTGTCCGAATCTGGGGGTTGACACTCATCTCAATTTCTAAGCCGAAGAGCCATCGTTGTCCGTAGACAACTCCAAAGTCATGTGGCCAGCATGACTGCATGGAGCGTGTGTATATATGTATGTATGTATGTGTGTGTGTGTGTGTGTGTGTGTGTATATATATATATATAAAGAGAGAGAGAGAGAGAGAGAGAGAGAGTTTTATATAGTGACAGTATATTGTTATTGTAACTTAACAAGGGTGGCGTAGCTCTTAGAGTCCATGTCTGAGGGATTTTAGTTTTGCTGATATCCTTATGGAGATGTCAATTATATGGCCAAAAACAGACAGGAACATTTCATTTTACACTTAATAGGTGATGCTCTGAAGCAGATTCCTGACCCGGGCAAATATTTCTTGGCCCCAAGACTTGGCTTTGAGAAAATTTAGATTCCTGTGGAGTCAGGAGAGCCAAGGTGAAAGTTTTCTTCATCAACACTTTATATATTTTCCACCTGGCTGTGTGGTACAAAAAACAAAGTTCTGGACAACTTATAAGCTTGTGAACTCTTTGGTAGCATTTTTGGTTGCGTGTGGCAAACCAGCAAAACCGCTACAAGTGTGTACAAATGTACAAATTGTCCAGAGCTTACAAGTTGTACAGAAGCTTGTTTCTGCACTACATAGCCAGGTGGAAGATTCTGGTGAATTGGAAACCGCACACATGTTTTTGAGGCTTACTATCTAATTTTAAGAAAGCTATTGCTTTGTGAATTTTTACTTAAATATTTTGCCACTAGAGGGCAAGCATGACCGTTTTGTATGTCGATCTTGTCAGACCTGTGCTAGAATGCTCAAGAGTCCACCAAGTTATTTTTAAGTTATGTACTTGAGCACACCACAGCCTTCATTTGAAATAGACACTGATTAATGGTCTCATGGGGAATATCTTGGTTGCATCAACTGGGGGCCCTTCCACACAGCCCTATATCCCAGAATATCAAGGCAGAAAATCCCACAATATCTGCTTTTAACTGGGGATTTTCTGCCTTGATATTCTGAGATATAGGTCTTTGTGGAAGGTCCCACTGTAGAATTAATGCAGTTGGATTACTGTCATGGCTCAATACTATGGAATCCTTGGAGTTGTCATTTGGTGAAGCTCCAGCCATCTTGTGTAAGGAAAACTGAAGATCTTGCAAGGCTCCATCTCCCAAGATTCCATAGCATTGAGCCATGGCACTTAAAGTGGTGCCTAACTGCATTCATTCTACAATATGGATGCACCCCTTGTCTTTAAAATGCACTGTACAGTATCATTTACTTCAAAATGAGGGAAGCCAACCCTTCTACATTATAAGATCCCCGATCTTTTGCTGAAATGAGCATAGCTATGAGTATGTGACTCTAAGTCCTATCCCAATTGCATCATTCATTCATAGTACAAACACCTTGCTGAATTCATAATATCTGAATGATTAACAGATGAGTTTGAGGATGTTTTTAGGAAAATATCTGGAATGGTTTTGCAATGATTACTGGGATTATTTGGAGACAGAGAAGGATGGTTAAAGTATGATTTTAAAGCAGGGATAGGTCCTGGTAGCCTGCCAGATGCTTTGACTCAGGGGTCCTCAAACTAAGGCCCGGGGCCGGATGCGACCCTCCAAGGTCATTTACCCGGCCCTCACTCAGGGTCAACATAAGTCTAAATGACTTGCAAGCACACAACAACAACAACAATCCTATCTCATCAGCCAAAAGCAGGCCCACATTTCCCATTGAAATACTAATAAGCTTATATTTATCAAAATTGTTCTTCATTTTAATTATTGTATTGTTTTTACGTCTTTTTTTGCACTTCCCTAAAACATGTCCAGTGTGCATAGGAATTCATGTTTGTTTGTTTTTTTTCAAATTATAATCTGGCCCTCCAACAGTTTGAGGGACTGCAACCTGGCCCTCTGTTTAAAAAGTTTGAGGACCCCTGCTTTGACTTATAACCTTTAGCTGCTTTAGCTGTCAAAGCTAATGAAGATGGATGACATGGACAGTCCAAAAAACCACTAGAGAGGCATAGTTGCCCAGCCCTGCTCTGTTGAAAAATGTCTGATGTAATTCAGATCATATTGCAGGTGGTTCTGAACTGTAGATGCTATTATGTTTACAGTCTGTTGTTTTTATTGGTACCTACACAAATCTAAGGATGCATCTTCACTGTAGAGTTAACGCGCTTTTGGCACCCCTTTAATTTCCATGGCTCAATGCTATGGGACCATGGGAATTGCAGTCTTTAGCCTTCTCTGCCAAAAATGTAGATGCCCCCTAGGTTATATAGTACAATCTTTCTAGATAGTTTCATTGTATCCATAATATCATAAATACAGACAGAATTAGTATAATGCATCCATTAATTTCATTAACCAATCTGATGGATGCCTTCCCACTTCAAATAATTTCCCTGTGTGGTTTAGCAGAATTTGCTGTTCTGGTAAATGCACATTTGTTTTGATTTGATCTAATCAATATGGTTTATATCCCCTGAAATAGAAAGTCTTTCTTCTATTTTTCTCCTTGGGCTGGCAATGCCCCAAATGTTCAGTGGCCACCAAAGCCAAAGCCAGTCATCTACAATCTCCACAGGTCTTACCCATTGCTTGATATTACAGTGTTCCTCATATCACACTTTCATTCTTCATACTTCATTTCTGATGGTAGAGGGAGAAGGATGCAAAATACAACAATGCCAGGAAAAACATAAGTTCTATTTAGGTTTATGCAGGGAGGAAGGAGTTGTCTGCATGAGTGAAAAAAAATCTGGTGTTGACCTAGCACACATTATTGTGGATTCAAATCTAATTATGGTAAGTTATTTTTCATGCATGAGGGCTTAAATCCAAATAAACGGGTTGACCTTTTATCCTGCACTTCTCTGGAAAACCCAAGTTATATTACACCTCCCCATAATTTGAGTCAGCTTTGGTGCGAAGCCAGGGAGTGGCGTTTTGGGTGAGTAAGTGGTGCATATAGGTGAGAGCTACCCTGATCCTTCCCACCATTAAAACAATACTTGTTTTCATTTTGTGGCATACATTTGTGCAGATGCAGTCACTATTATTTTTTAAAGGCACTTTGGTACGAATAATACCAGTATTGGTACACCTTCAACTACGAGCATTAAATATAAACCACATTATTTAATGGGATGGCCAATACCATGTCGAGCCAAGCATATAATATATAAATATACATATATGCAATTTTTTAGTATGCATAAGGGAGAAATAATAGTGGCCACCACTGTGTAGCCAGAAATAGTGCAAAGTATAATACATATGATCATTGCAGGACCACCCTTTAGCACCAATATGAGTTCAGATAGGGGAAATGAATAGCTACTAATGCTGTTCCCTCTTAGATTTAATATGAAAGTGTGCGGTGTGAATGCAACCACTATGGATCCAGAAAATGTGAACCAGAATTTTTTGCTAGTGTAGACAATGCCCTAGATAAAGAGTTATGGATTTCCTTCCTATTAGGAACTATACATTAGAATCACATATTTGTTGGTCTTTTGTTTTGCTGTGTCAACTTTTTTCCTGCAGTATGCTCTCAGTTGTATCCAGAGATGTTCTTCTGATATCAGTCTCTTGTCAAAGAGCTTCTATCATTTGAATTGTCATCCTTTTAAAAATGTAATATCCAGTACAGTACTTTGAATCTACCCGAGCACGCTGTTGTAAAAGCCATTAAAATAGTTGTACATAGTTTGCAAAAGGTAGATATCACCTGTAGTAATTCTTCATTAGTGCTTGAAGAACATTATCTCCCTTACTTTTTGAATCAGTGTAATATTGGAAAGCTGACATCATAACGAATAATTGTATGTGTCTTCATGATGCTACATGGCCCTGTTACTTTCCTATGGAAAAAAACAGCAGGCTGCATTTTCAAAGGCAGTTCCTGCTAAAAGCGCTCTTATGCAAATGTTTTCTTTTCTGTGCAGTTCAGCAGTTGATGCTTTTAGCACTTGTATTTTTCCACTGGTTTCCTCATTGTTTAGGGTGGGTTGTTTCCCTCGCTGCCAAATCTCTCTCCCTGAACTCTTTCCCCGCCCACCTGTTAGTCCCCTGAGTCACTTCCCTTTCTCAGTCCTGCTTTTTCTGTTCAACTTCTCTCTGAAAAGCAATTACTATTGCTGTGTTTGCAAGAAGACAGGCAGAGAGCATGACTCATTTGCACCTGGATGGAAGCTCTAATGCTGGATGTTGCAGCTGGACCCAGGAGGGCGGCTGATGCGTTAAGTCAGTGGCTGTGCCAGGGAGCTTCCCAGGAACAGGGATGGACCAGGATTATTTATAAACCAGATCCTTTTCATTTCTTTTTGGGATTATGCCACTCTCACAGAAGTTTTGTTTTTTCCACTGGTAATAGTGTTTCCACCTGCCTAGCTGAAACTAGATAGAAGTTTTCAAATAGTCGAAGAGCTGTGTCCAGTATTACTACTTTCTAATTTTTCAATATGTGAGGAAAAGCATGCAAACATGGGTAACATGTATCAGAGGTGGGGAATGTATGGTTCTCCGAGTCTTGGCAAGGTACCGTCTTCATTCACAATTGGTTATATAGACTGGAATGGTGGGAACTGTAGTCCAGCATCTGAGTTACAGTTCTGAGTTCTGGGTTATACAGTCATATAACCCAGAATATCAAAGCAGATAATCCACAATATCTGCTTTGAACTGAGGGCCCTTCCACACTGCCATATAATACAGTTCAATATGGATTTTATATAGCTGTGTGGAAGGGGCCCAAAAGGCCACACATTCCCCATCTGTGATTTATATAGTTTGCTTTTTTTACTTTATAAATTTGCAGTGTTTGAAGTTGGCACCCCTTTACTAAATCCATTGTTGTTCTCATTAAGCCATTCTTCGGCTTCTTACCTTCCCAACAGGTGTAGCATACTCACAATATGACAACGCAGAATCAGATGAAAGAACAAGTAGCCAAAAGCTCTGTCTCGGGCCCAGCATTTTCCTTTTGGGTTTCTAGGCCTTTGCTATATTTTGGCTCTTTTGTCCTCATTCTTACTAGCCACGAGCCTTCAGTGGTTCTTTCCCAATAAAACACAGTAACACAGTTTCTTGTTTTGGAAAGGAATATAATTATCTATTATGTTACAGTTAAACATTTGTCATGTATGTATGTATGTATGTATGTATGTATGTATGTGTTTTGGGATTCAAGAGAATGCAAGTTTGGATGAAGGTATTGCATGAAATAGTTACAGCTGGGCCCTCAGGCAATTTGAGGAGTCAAAGTGAGTGAAGCAGGTGGTTAGCCATGAAAGTCTGGAGAGTTAGATTTGTGTGTGATAGAGATAATTTGTTTTACAGTCCCCATACTTCACCCTGTTCTCCCCCTTCTTGCTTTCTCCAGGCATTGACCATCCTGCAGAAGAGAGGGTTACTCTCTAATCCTCCCCCACTAGGACCAATGGGATATAGGGAACTTTGGTGAGGTTTACTCAGTGGGAGTCAAAGAGCCAGCCAGCCAGTCATTTTCCATCGTGATTCTCATGCTGGCAGGGTCCATGCGGTGGGTTGGATGCAGAGCATGGCCAAAGAACTACACCCCTTTACCCTGCTAGCTTTTGGTCTCCTGTTCTTCAGGGCCATCGTGCTGTAGCTCCTCTTCGTCCGATTGTACCACGGGGGTCTCAGCCCCCTCCTCACTAGTATCCAGGCTGTTCAGGTCTGTGGAGGCTGAGGATGTGGACGAGATCCTGGATTTGACCTCACCGGTGTTGGGCACTTGCAGAGAAATCTCCTCTTGGTAATGGTTGGAATCTGGCCAAGGAGAGAGGCAAGAAAAAAAACACAAATATCTGAAGAGTATGCTTGCACTTGGCTGCCCTCTGTGCCCTGATGACTTTCTGGCGAGCCAAGCTAATCTGTCCTACCCATGTCAACCTCTATTATTATGCTGCAGAAGGAAACACATGCACTGCCGCAGCTTCTCCATGGTACTTGGGCCTTGCTGGCAACTGCAAATGGTTAACAAATAAATATCCTACCCTATTAATAGAAAATACCCATGTGCCAAGTCTTTTTTTCTTTGTTACTGCAGCAGTAAGTAGTACTATCCTACATGCAGAGCCTTGTTCCATCTTAACATTTACTGCAGGCAAAGATATCAAGAACACAGAAGAAATGTGAGTACCTGCATTGATATTTTTGACCAGAGGAGTTCAAACTTCATTTAGTCATGAAAATCTTTCCTTGACACTCAAACAATTTCATGATGCATTTTAGGGCACCCTTTGTCCAGCTGGTCCCACCATAATTTTCGATTCCTGACAATAGACCATGTTGTCCGAAGCTATTTGGGGTTGAGTTTTTAAAAACATGGCTGCTTAGGATGGTGCCCACATAGGAGTACATTAGAAAGCCATTTACCCACATTCAGGATCTCAAACATACAAATAGAATACAGGTTATGCAATTATAGGTACTGCACCTTTTGCTCCTTAAAGTCACTATGTAAAGAAAGGGTGAGTAACATACTTAGCTGAGGCTAATGCTTACCTTTTTTGGCTAAATTACATTGATAAAATTGAGGTGTACATTAAATTTGATGGTGTGTTAGAATCGTGCACATAAGCCCATCTGCGTGAAAAGGCCCGAAAGAACCCAGAACTCCAGAGACAGCCTCAGGGCTTTGTGGCACCAGAGGAGGATACAGAGGGGAAGTGCCTAGCTGGTGACTTCAGGGTTTTCCCTGCTCCCTCCAGGCTTATTTCTATGCAGTTCCCAACTGGTCCCATTCATAAAGCCTTCAAAATCAAGAGGGAATTGTGTGATTTCTCCAGTCTTGGCCTGATGGAGAGGTGTGGCCTCTCCTCTATCGGGCCAAGCTTCATGCTGCCTGCTTCCTTAGTGCACTATGCCTGCACAGTTGAGTGCATTACATTTGAGGGCAAATCAATTTTTTGTAATGTGCACCTTCAAAATTGAAGTACATTATACTTGAGCAAATACATTAGTTTGTTGCCCTCGGGATGATTTCGCATTGCAACTTTCATTATTCTTCCATAATTGGTTATGCTAATTCTAGGGCAGATGGAAGTTGCAGTCCAAAATTTGGAGGGTCATCCAGCTTCAAGAATAAATTGGAGGTGTGACACACTTTCACGTGGCTGTTGGGATAAATCTTTATCTCAACAAAGGAGTTATATGTAGCAGTGTATTTTTTTATTTATCTTATAGTTTCTGACTTAATTTAAACTATCATATATAGTTGTTTTCCAGATGTTGCATTGCACAGATTTTCACAGAAAATTATAATTAGAGAAGCAGCCTCTACCAATGTATCCGTGTTATCTCCTCTCCCCGCAACACCCAGTGTGGTGATTCCTCCCTTTTATCTGCACTGGTTGCTAAAGCATGCCAAATTTCTACCAATGTCTCGCTCAGCAGGTTGGCTGTTCAGTTTGCACTGTGGAAATTACAGATATGGAACTGGCAGATGTAGTTACAGTGCTATTACATGACTTTCTTTGCATATCTGCAGGCACAGACAGAAGAGAGGATCTGCTACGCTATGAACATATATTGATCGCCTGCGGGTTTTGCTGGACAAGCATACAATCTTGGTACTGAGGAGAATCCAAGTGTATATGACAAACTCAAGAGGAAAGAAAAGTAAACAAGTTTCTGTGCTTTCAATACGGATGAAAAATGTCTTAAATATGTGCAGGATGTGCATTATACTGTTCTTATAGTGTTTGCATACCTAGTGATCCAGAAAATATTCTACAATAATTTCCTTTGCTATCCTCACCCCATAGTTACTACACTCAATGCCTGCTCAGCAATGTACAATCTACAGCCCTACTCCTTTCTTCTATTGCTTCACTCACAGCCAAGGCAATAATAGGAGGCTATTGGAACACTTGCATTTCAAAAAGAGAATTTTTCAAAAATGAAATTTTACTAAATTTATTTTTTATTTCCTGGTTCTTGAATTAGTATTATCTTAGCAAATAATGTGTGCTACATGGTAGACCCTGTTCAAAATATTGTTTAGTAATAGTCACCTGTGGTTTGGATCCAGGCTGCTAATGAATCATTAGCAAAAGACAGCACTGCTTCTGTGACACAGTAACCAACAGAGATTGGGTCAGGTTGAGCCACTGACCTGGTAACCCTTCCATCAAGGGCAAGGCTCCCTGTTTGGCCAGAAGACGTCCTCCCTGGCCCTGTATCATTATACAAAACACGTGCCTTGCATTCCTTCTCCATGTTTGGCAATGGTGGCTCTTTGTGCATGGCTTGTGAATAACACAACTTGGAGATCTCATCAGTGAGGCTCTTTAACTGGAATGCAGGAGGCTCTGCTAGTAAAGCGTTTGAATCACATTCAGGCTGAATCACTAACAGGCTTTTATTGCCTTCCAGTTGACCTTCCACTGGACTCTGAAGCAAGCCTTTCAGAATAAGAATAACGGGGATGAAGATAATAAAGAGCTTCAAGCTGCTACATTTATCTTTTTCTTTGCCCATCTATACATGTTTAAGCCATTCAATCCAGTGTTTTCAGATCAACTGATGTGTGTGTGTGACTTCAAATTACCTACACACTATGGCAAACCCATGAATTTCAAATAATTTTCTTAAGCAGGGAATATTCAAAGGTGGTTAGCCAGCTCCTTCCTCTGAAACACGGCCTACAGTGTCTGCTGTTCACTGATGATCTCCCATCAAAGTACTGGAGCCCCCAGTGGTGCAATGGGTTAAAGCCTTGTGCTGACAGGACTGCTGACCAACAGATCAGCGGTTCAAATTCAGGGAGAGCGGGTTGAGCTCCCTCTGTCAGCTCCAACTCCCCATGTGGGTACATAAGAGAAGCCTCCAACAAGGATGGTAAAACATCAAACATCCGGGCATCCCCTGGGCAACATCCTTACAGACGGCCAATTCTCTCACACCAGAAGCGACCTGCATTTTCTCAAGTCACTCCTGACATGAAAAAAAAAATTGAAGTACTAACAGTAACCAGATCAGGTGGAATTTGGTGTATTTAGGGTATTTAGGCTGCTTCCAGAATAAAACTACTGGTTAGAAGTTATAGTGCTTCTTTTGTTTTGTTGCATGCCATTGTTCAGCCAATTTAATGCTTTCTTTCTCTTAGTGGGGAGTGGTGTCTTCATGACAGACGACAATATCTGAAGTTAGAGTTTCCAGCCCAACGTTATGTAGAGATATTTTCAATAAGGAATGGAATTTCTACTCCAAACGTATGCAGCTATGTTTCTACTTCACACAGGACTGAGTTCACAAAGGCTTGGATAGCATAACAAGATTCTCTCCTTGTTGAATGTAAGTCTGATTTTAAATAAACAAGGGCTATTTACAAACTAGAAAATTCTGGGAAAGGAAGGCAAAATCCTGCATCTTGCTTATGTTATTGCTACTTATTTATGGTTTGTTGTGCTTTTCACTAGAGCTTGTTCTGTATGGTGATGACCTCTACATGACATGGGCTTTAAGCATGATCACCTGCTAATACCTGGTATTAAGGGCACAATAGCGGTGGAAAGGAGAAATCTTGTGAACAGGGTTTGCTTTAAGCTTGTCACCAGTAACCAGGTAACAGGGATTCACCAAAGAGACAGGGGAGACTTGGAGAGGCCACTCTTAGGTCCCCTTTTTCATTACAGCAATCCTTTTTAATTTATCTTATGTGTGACAATTACAAGATTCCTTCAATGAGCTCCAGGCAGTATATCTAGTTCTCCTCTTCCCCACTCTACCTTCCCAAGGTCTCCCATTGAATTTCATGGCTGTATGGAGACTAGCATTTGCCTTTTCAATGTTTCAGTCCATCACTTTTTTAACTATTACAATGCATGAGTTGCTGTAAGTTTTCTGGGCTGTATGGCCATGTTCCAGAAGCATTCTCTCCTGATGTTTAACCCACATCTATGGCAGGCATCCTCAGAAGTTGTGAGGTCTGTTGGAAACTAGGCAAGTGGGGTTTATATATCTGTGGAAAAATGACCAGGGTGGGAGGAAGAACTCTTGTCTGTTTGAGGCAAGTATGAATGCTGCAAATGAATGGCATTGCATCTTCAAAGCCTGGCTGCTTCCTGCCTGAGGAAATTCCTTCTTGGGAAGTGTTAGCTGACCCTGACTGTTTCCTGTCTGGAATTCCACCATTTTTTGGGTGTTGCTCTTTATTTACTGTCCTGATTTTAAGGTTTGTTAATACTGATAGCCAGATTTTGTTCATTTTCATTGTTTCCTCCATTCTGTTGAAATTGTCCATATGCTTGTGGATTTCAGTGGTTCTCTGTGTAGTCTGACATGGTGGTTGTTAGAGTGGTCCAGCATTTCTGTGTTCTCAAATAATATGCTGTGTCCAGGTGCTCTGCTATGGCTGACTTCTCTGATGGAATTAGTCTGCAGTGCCTTCCATGTTCCTTGATTTGAAGCTGCAAGGACATTCAATGCTAATCAAGGTGACCAATTGCAACAGTCACATCTGCCTCAAACAGACAAGAGTTCTTTCTCCCACCCTGGATGTTCCACAGGCATATAAACCCCACTTGCCTTTTTTCCAACAGACCTCACAACCTCTGAGGATGCCTGCCATACATATGGGTGAAACATCAGATGAGATTACTTCTGAAACATGGCAATACAGCCCAGAAAACTCACAGCAACCAGTGATTCCAGACATGAAAGCCTTTGACAATACATTATTACAATGCACTTGTTATTTGTGTGAATTGCTGCCATGATAACAGAAATAGTTGGCAAGATACACAAGGAATTTGAGTCATCTA